ATATCATTATTTCTGAGCAGCAGGGCTTCCGTCGAAATCGATCGTGCACAACGAATATACTGGTAGCACGGAGTAACTTCTCCCAGTCAGCAGACGCTGGAGAGGAGGCTGATGTGATCTACCTGTTCTCGAAAGCATTCGGCCGTCTAGATCATCGGATACTCCTTTCCAAGCTACAGCGTTACTGGATCAGTGACCCTCTTCTAAGCTGGATCACCAACTATCTCCTTCAGCGGCAATTGGTGGTCAGAGTTCGGAGCCCCCTTCTCTGACCCCATACAAGTTGAATGTGGTATGCCTCAAGCTTGGTGCTAAGTCCCCGATTGTTTTTGGTATTTATCAATGAAACAGGTAATTACATCCAACTTCCTGCTGTTTTCCGAGGACGTCTAAATTTACCGCAAGTTTCAGGGAGATACTGACCAGCAACTGCCTCAGTGTGATCTATACACGGCACATCAGTGCTCTATCCAAAATCCATTGCAATTCAATGTGAGTAAATGCAAAGTGCTTTCCCTACGATACGAGAGCAACCACTGTTACATGCTCGGAATGTATGTGCTGCAGCGAGCATCCACCAAACATGATTTAGATGTACTGGTTCAAGATGATCTGGGTTCCATGCAATCTGCGAAAGCCTCAAAAACGGGTCAGCAACATGTGGACCGGTTAGGACGGGCGTTCGGACAAATAGATCGCTCTATTTTCGGGAAGGTGTTTAGTGCGTACGTTCGTCCTCATGTCAAATATACAATTCAAGCCTGACACCCGTGGCTGAAACACGATTTTAGTTCATTGGAGTAGCCCCAATGTCAAGCATCAAAGTACGTTATTGCAATACCCCATTTTCCATTCGAGAGGTTGGAACGATTGGGATATTCAGCGGACGTTGCTGCAGCTTGCTAATTATGTACTTAATTATGCATGATCCACACCAAATGTGCCGCTCCTTACTGCAACTCAGCAGTAATACCAACTTGCTAGGTCACTCAATAAAATTGGCAGAACAGTACAGCCGTGTGGATTGCCGCAAGCATTTTTTTCGTCCGCATGTGTCACCCGTAAAATGCTGTTCCAGAATCGGTCCTTTCTGCACCATCACTATCCATATTTAAAAGACGCTTAGATGACTCACTTACCTACACCTTGTTACCTAGTAATACATCTCCACCCCACTCCTGGAATACACTTTGGATTTCTTTGCTGTTACATGTCTGTGCTTTGAAACTACACGGATCGCAGGAATACAGCGAAACAAAAGATAGCTCCCTCTTTTAAACACAAATAACCCACAGTTATTTTTATTTTTCGATAACCCTGCAAACTGTCCAACAGGACCTGTAAACCACTGCGTTCTAACCCGTATAAATCCCTTGTTCATTGTTCATCATATCACTTGCAGTCTTAGTTGCGGCTATTTATCTCAAATATCTAGGTTTCATATAATTGCTTTCGTGTGAATTGGGGTCACTCGGCACACAGCATTCTTGATCCAGTTGGAAGAACAATCCGGGAGTCAGTAAGGTAGAGGATGTGCCTTTATTTTTGCTAACCGTTAGGTGTCCGAGTAAGGTGTTGTAGCTGTGGCTTTTCTGTCCGTCGACCAAAGTTTACAGATGCAACTCAGACGCCTTCTTTCACAGGTCGAAATAGGAACGTGTACTTGGTTTTCAGACCGCTTCGGCTAACAAACTTGCTTAAGCCGAAGGTGACGTACAACATGTCCCTCCTTTTCACTGTAGTTTGACTATACTTACCTTATTGGATTATTCATATCACAATGAACAATGATTTATCACGGATAAAAAAGCGTGTGCTTGACAAGTCCCTTAGGATGGTTTGAGTAAAAATTAAAATTTAAAGGATCATCGAATAAGTAAATCGTTACTTTAAGTGTCTACCGATTTAAATGCACTACTGCATAACGATAGTTTGAAGTGGGAATGTGATGTGCACATAAAAGAGTATAAAGTGCCGTTATAGTTCAGTAAAGGCGTGAGAAAGGAAAAAGGAAACGACAACGCTCACTCGTGTGTTGCTTCATTTAACAAATATGGTATGTCAATCCAGTTTAGATACATCCAGGCTACTCACATGGACACTTCTGCATGTATCCTTACCGCCACGTTGCGGAAATGGCCCTGAAGCACATGGTTAGGTTTGCGTTATTTCGTCCTCCAATTAGAAGTAGAGCAAGTTGGAAAGCGTTTCATCAAGGCGCTTTTTGAATAGCGTTAATGTAGGGACAAGGATAATGTGAGTCGTAAGGGCATTCCAGGCACGGGACACACGGAGGGAGAACACGTTTCGTCGACATTCAAACAGACTGTATTGCTTAGCCAATTTGAGCTGATGGTCTATCAGGTTGGTATTTTGGCTCAGCTGCAACAGATTGCGACATGAGTGAGTTGGGTTCGTCAGTATTAAGTAAACCAGGATTAGGTCTCCTCGCTGACGTCGATATTCACCACTGTACAATCTCAGGGACCACAGTCTACGTTGGTAGGAGAGATGAAACAATCCTCTAACGAGTTTGGTCGCTCTACTTTGTGAAGGTTCAAGTGCATAGACGTCGCGCTTGCGCCAGGGCAGCCAGTACTGGATCGTACTCCAGACGTTTGTCCTCACTCCATATATCAGGTCTGATAACAGTGAACATGCGTGTTAACAGGAACACAGATGCAAAAGACAGCGACACTGAAACTGTACAGGGCTTCCTGTTACTATCAAGTTCAAATCATGTCCCATTATGGAACGGGCGGCGGTGAAACCGCAGTTCTGCACATATTTAGTTATTACATCGTTGAGTTTGTGCGATTTTGTGTGACTATCACGCATCCGCCTATTTCAGTGCTGAAAGACTACCGGTTCCACCAGTTGGTCAATGCTCGAAGGGACGAGGCGTCTGTCACGTATATCGAAGTTCGCATTTCGACTCCGCGGACGTCCACGTAGTGCGGGTCAAGGACGGAGGGCAGGCCAACGCTGGAAAGTCTTACGCCAAACTTCAGCACATAATTAAACTATGTATCGGGCGCGATACACTCTACAAACAGTCCCACAACGACGAGAAAGCATGCGTGGTGGGACACGATAAAAAATGATATCAGCAATGCGCCGGTATGCAGTACTGACGCTTCGCTGCCGCGCAACCACCAAGAGTCGCGCGTGCACTAAGGATATTGCGAGAGTCGCCCGTTGCCCTACCTATCCTCGACCCCGCGCCCTCGGATTATAAGGCAAGCTTGTGCTCCTTTACGCCACGGGCCGGTGTGGCACAAGACAGTACATACCCTAATTGAACCATGCGGAGTAAACTACACTTGCATAAACAAACAGCACTCATAAAGAAGTTGGTGAAAAGGGACGCCTTCTATGGGTTCACAGGTTATTCTGTCTGTACGCATGTGTAATTAGGGGTAACAAGACATGGTAAGCAATGAAGGTCTGTTCAAACGGTTATTACACTCACGGTATCCCTAGCACACGAATTACTGGTTGTAGTCGCGTGGCAGCGGAGTGTCGGCGCAGCACACCAGGATGGCTGTCCAGTAGAGCATAGTACCTGTTAATAGGTAACTAGTCAGACTTGGCTACTCGGTGATATTCTGATGTGACCATTTTGAGATGTTGCCAGTTTTCCTCCATCGATTTTAATGGTGCTCAAGCCGTTGATAGCTAACCGCTATTGGTGGACGATTAACCAGTACCAAACCATAACCTGACATTTATTTTCGCAAAGGTTTAGGCTAATAAAAATTTCCGCTTTGTTCTTGAATAATAAACAGGTCAGGGTGTGTTGCTTTATTATCTAGTCAGAATGATATTCAATGAATTCAGTCAACTTTGTCATTCCTAAAATCATCAGACGAATCATTTATGAGTAACTCGGTATCATTCGTAACCCACGCACACGCAGTGTGCAAAATTTCGGTACTTCCGATCCTGACCTTCAAACTCGCATAAGGAATGCCGAAATGATTAATCTCTATGTTCACCTAATCTCCTTTTAAAGCCCTTCCACGTAGTTAATACCGACAAACAAATTAAACACTACGCGATGTTTTACTGCGTGACATTTACCGACCCATTGCGTTTCTAGTTGCATAACTGTGTTTGGGGACTTATTAATGTCTGAAATCGCCGGTCCAGTCCCCTGTTAATGAGTCCGTCGTGTTCATGCCTTTGATAAATACTCTTGTAGAACCACTGTTTAGTGCTGTAAATTATCCTACTCACTGTCCGAACTCGGCATTAGTTTGGTAACTCAATCAGTCCTTCATTCTTTTCCGCTGTGACAATAGTCATACTTTCTTCAGTGTCGTCAACCACCAGCATTCCATATTAAATAAATAAATAAATATTTTATTATCGACAAAGCGAGGTACGTCTTTTGGGCATGATCAGAAACTCTTAATCAGTAATCAGCCGATATAATCTACATTGACACAAAGCATTGGGCGTTGGTGAGGGTAGTCGTACTTCTGGGGATTAGTCTGCATTTTTCAAGACAGTAACGTGCGCTAGACTAGACTGGGATGCTGTATGCCGCAGCAAGTGGGCAGCTAAGAAGGTCTGCCAGCGTCACGCACACCAAATCTCTTAAGTCACTGATTCGTAAGAGGTAAGTCATTGTGCCTGATCCATCAAGCTCGCGTTGTTGACGAGCCACAGTAGAACGAAACGGTCGCTTGGTATCATTCTGAATGTTTGATAACTGTCCGACTGAACCATGCTCCGTAGAAGCTTCTCAAAGTGAAATGTTCTAACAATCAAGTGTTTCAGCTACGCGCTCCTAGAATCTACCTGCAGTGGTAACATAACTGTAAGTGATAGAATGTGCATGTTCAATTCATTTGTTACTCCTTTATTTCACTGTTCCACAAGCACGAGATACATCAACGACCACGTCATTGCTTACATTTTGCTTCATTCCTGAGTGACTTGACTGCTCGTCGGTGTCAACATTTTTACTGCCAATCGCTTTCATTCCGTTGTAGGTCGCACCCTTGCCAAGTGGTAGGGCTGGTGTGGCCGTTGCATCCAGCCCTGCTCCGAGTAGCCTCTGCGGGCAGTTCAGTATTCGTGTCCCATTTTACAAAGCGGATCCGCTGGCATGAAACACCATATCTGCGTTATGAAAGGAAAATCGACGAAATCTTTTGTACCAGCAAACTGAAATTTTACCATTCCAGTGGACAGTGTTGCCGCTGTTGAAACCTTTGTCTTGCTGCAATCTTGTACTCAGGTTGACGTGCATTTTGGTGGCGCTATGGACTCTGCCTGGCTGAAAACTTCCTGGTGCTTTATTCACATTCGCCGCTTCATCTGTCTGTCTGCTTTGTGATTACTGTACCATGATGTTTCATACTGCACATGAATTTTCTCATTCGTTCCGATGCCCATTGCACCACAGAGCGAGACAGCTTAATTGGGCAGTTGTACTCAGGCGGCATAATAGTACCGTTCAATCGGCGTATAATAGATAACGCTCTTTCGACGGAAGTTTCTAATAATATTTGCACCTACGGTTTACTATAAGGCTTTAGTAAAACCTCCGGACTTCAGCCGCATAGCTATTAAAACTCTGTCCGAGTGGTATGTATGTCGGCATATGGCTAACAGGCAATACGACCGCGTATATACGTAAACGGTGCACTCACAACTGACGCGACATGTGACAAAGAGCGGAGGGAATGTGTGCATGCGTGCGTGTGCGCGCTTGCTTGTGTTCATATGACCAGTCAGAGTAGCACAAGCGTTAACCAACGATCATTAGGTGATCACGTGCTATCCCACATGGTAGAGGCGTCACAGTCCGGGTTAGAGAGGTTTGTCTGGTTTTCGAATTCGGCTCGACGGCCGAAACAGGGTTTTACTTGTCGGTCTCGACTTTTGGCCTCCGCTGCTTGCACTTTGCCAGAATGGCGGTCAGACTGCGTTTCGGCCCGTGTGCCAGTGCTTCAGGGGCGTACGTCATCCGAATGTCGATGGACAACCTGCCCATCCGGAAGCAGTAAGCCGTTTTGTTTTTCTCCAGAAGCGATTACTATTGCCAGATGTCAACATAATTCGCGCGGTAACCAGACATAATCTAGATGATATTCCATGAATGTACTGTGTATTCCCGAAGTCAATTGAATATTTTAGAACATAAATTTAATGAATAACTCTTTTGAACAAGTAACAATAGACGATCAATGTTACATCCATTATTAGCGACGATGTAATTCCAACGCTCAGGAAAGATGCGGATACCTTTATCATAGAAGGAGCTGGAATAGCTGTGGTGTTGGGCAAGGTAAGTTTCGATGTGGTAATAGCCATCGAATTTCTCGTCCTTGATGTGGTTGTGCCGTGAACGGGCAAGGCAGCAGTCAGTAGGACCGAGGTCCAGACTGTATGCTAGATGCATAGGAGCTTCGACTCCGAGCTTTTAAATCTTGCGCCACGTTTCTTTATCACGGGTGGACGTACGTTGTCATACAGGAGAGGGAGTTGAGCCCCACTTGGACACGTTTTTTGGTGTTCGCCAACCATCTTTTGCCGTGGTTGGCAATATACATCGGCATTCACTGTGATATTCCCAATAGGTGCTGCACCTGCAATCCCACCAAACCGATTGCATCAACGTTTTACCATGCAATTCGTTTTTCGGGACTTGTACTGGCCTTTCATCTGCTGCGATGTAGTGGCGCATCTTGCTCTGGTTGACATGGAGCGCCTACTTCTGGTCACTAGCAACTACATCGTTCAGCTATCGGTGATCGCTTCCCTGGGTGAGCAATGAAAGTGAGAGCACAACGGTTCAAACGCTACTCAGAAGTTGATTCTTGTGGTACAACTAGTCCGAGCATTGGGACCATTCTAGATTGGCCCAAATGATGTTGGGCGGTGGTTATTGGAAGGTCATTATGTGATGAAACTTCACGCACACTTTGTCTTGTGTTTATTACTAAAGCTTCCAGGATATTGCTGACAATATCCGCTGACTTACATCCTTGACATTCATTAGTTCAGAATTGGTGGTTCCCTAATGCGAACCAACATTACCAAATTACTACCACACCGTAAATTAGACCATCCGTGCCTAGTACATCACGCAGGTTTCAACAAGCTTCGTCTAGTTTGCGCTCCTGTAGGAAGTCGTACAACAGGCATCAGCTAACAGCACGTTTATGATTTGCCAATACCGCAGCCGTTGCTAAGATATTGTATAAATGGATCTTGTTAGACATTGTTCCATAACAACCACGCTAATAAAACTTCCAGAACATTCTGAAATGGTAGCGAAAAAAATTTCAGTTGAGTTTGGGACAACCCAACTACATCCGTTCTTGACTCATCTGAGGATAGGTATTTCTTCTGTAAGCCCCTACACCAGAACGCTGGTTACAGAAGAATAAGTCTGAGGACTCGTTCCAGGTAAGTCCGCCTGGAATTTAACGGTTTTAGTGGAAGCCCAGGTAACGGTTCCAACATGTATATCGAACTGCAGGGCAGCCTTTATTTTGGACGACAAAAGGTCTCTTGTTTGCCTATCCATAAAACGACACTGTTGCCGCTGCTAGCTATGGGGAACGTAAGGAGTACCGTGCACACAGTGGTCTCACGTTCCACCTAAAACAAGCGCCAAGCAAAAACGGGGCTCAACTCAAGCAATCAAACTCAACCTGCAGTTGTAGCGGTCCATAGATTTCATAGGTTCGCCTGTGCAAAATTCCAGCAAAAAATATCATACATTATACGTTTAGGCGACTGATACGTATTGCTAAACTGGTTGTTGTGTTCGATTGTCGGAGTCGAGCACTGCTTTGCATGGCCCTCATTTTGGTTGCAATGCGCGATAGCTCAATTTTGCTGCACTCTTTTCCCCTGGCATCGTCAACTGTGTTGTCTTTTATAGCTAAGTCAAAAGGGAACTTTCACTGCACAAAATAGAGGCTTCCCTGTAACTCCATCTGACGTTTGTAAACGCTATCCGGACTCCCGCTAAACACTTCAATAGTCCGCGCCAATCGCCTAAGTGTGCAGTGAACGTTTTGCACTGGTAAGCCTGGGAAGCCTCCATAATGCTACATAGCCCACCCGCAAGAGGGATTGCGTAAGGAGCCCTTCGATCGACCTAATGACTATCCAGGCCGCCACACCGACCCAATGGACATTGTAGTGGTGTGAACTGCACTCGGTGCAGCTGCTAGTGAACAGTTCTTCAATCAGATCCTAGCGTGCTCCCACCCCTGTCCACCCTACGGTATTGAACCGGAAAAACTTTGGGTGACATCTCATAAAGGTTCGACGACCCCAACTAAGCGAGGAGTTTCTTGTGCTTTGAGCTGAGTTGCAGTGATCCATCGAAGCGTGCAAACAAGAGGTAATCAACTGATAGAGTATAATGAGAAAAATGTAAGTAGATCTATTTGGGGTCATCATAATGTTTGGTTCTTTCATGGTGGTTTCGAAACATTTTAGACCTTTTTGTTGGATTTTAAATAAACTTTTGTAGGAACATGACTGATAGACAGCAAAGAGCGAAACTCTTAAACTACAGCAAATAGGAAAGGTCAACAAAATCTGAGAAACGAACGGGGTGTTTCACTTCCATACTACGTCGGTTGATAGTAGTCCGAGTAGGAGTGAGGTCGGCTGTCACTGTACAATGAACAATGATTTATCACGGGATAAAAGCAAGTGCTTGACACGTCCCGTAGGATGGTTGAGGTGAATATGATGAAATCAAAATATGTCTGGGTCATCTATCGAACGTCTGCCGAGATGAATAGTTTGATAAGTAACATCAGTGTAAAATTAAAATAAATTATCGAGCGTAAACGTTCAGAAAGACACTGGGGTGCAGTGATCATTGAGGCAAGGAGTGAGAAAAGTGAAATATGGTCGCTCACTTAGGTCCATTTGATTCATAAATCCTGTTGAAAAGCATGGTTGGCGTAATCCACAGTAGGGGAGTTTAGGTAACAAAATGCTGGGAGCTAAGAGCAACATCTAATCGTATTTTGCAAACAGAGGAGGATACGACTGAGTCTGGGAGTGCGTTCCAAGGTTTGCAAACCCGAAGGGAAAAGTACTTCCTTCGACACTCTAGACGGCTGTATTGTTCCTTCAACTTTAAGCAGTTACCCCTGAGCTTCGTGTTGTGGCTGTTTCAGCAAATGGCGGCATACGTGGTTGGGGTCACACAATATTTGATACGCTAATATGAGATCACCGCGCAGTCTTCGATAGCGTCCGCTGAAAATACCCAGCAACTTCAGCCTTCGGTGGTAAGAGTGATAGCGCAGACCCTGCACATTCTTTGTTGCTGTTCGTTATGGTGTCTCTATCGCTTCTAGGTCACGCTTCAACCAAGGTTGCCAAGCTTGGATTGCGTATTCAACATGCGGGCGCACGTAGGAATTGTGCATCATTGGGAAGATTGATGGGTCAAATCTTCCGAATGCTCTTCACAGCATGCCGACATGCTGGTTGCCTCTTTTCGCAGCTACCTCAGCCTGTTTTGAACAGTTGAGGTCGCTCTGTACGATCACACCAAGGTCACGTTCCCGGGAGCTGGTCTGCAATCCGTTTATCCCAAGCAAATAGGTGTAGTTTTGTCTATGGCGTAATTGTGCAACGCGACATTTGTCTAAATTGAATGGTAGGGCATTTTGAACTGACCAGTTCGACACTGTGGTAAGATCGCACTGGAGCCGTTCATGGTCGTCCGGTCCTCTGATCCTTCGCCATATCTTGATGTCATCTGCGAAAAATAGGAATTCGGAATCAATTGATTTAGACAACCAACCATTGTGCTACACCACATACCTCATCGATTATGTCGGACAATGATTCTCAGACTCTCACCACTAGGCGTCGTTCGTGTAGAAAATTGCTAACCCAACTCAGGATTGGGTCGCCAATGCCGAGGTTCCGAAGCTTCTGAAGGAGAATTTGATGGTCTAAGCGATCAAACGCTTTTGAAATGTCCAGTAGATGACATCGACTTCTGCTCCATCATCAACAGCTTCAGTCCAGTTCTTACGTGCACTTAGTACGTTAGTATTACACGAATGCATTTGACGAAAGCCATGTTATTCTGGGGCTACTAAGTTGTGGCTTTCCAGATATTGCATCAGCGCATCTGAGATGATTGATTCCATCACTTTGGATAGTACAGGAAGTAGTGTTATTGGACGGTAGTTGGTAGGGTCAGTGCGGTTACCTCATTTGTTGATAGGAGTGATGTCCCCTCGCTTCCGCACTGGTGGAATATGATTCTCTTCTAGACATCGCTGATGGAAAACCGCCAGTGGTTCTGCTACATCACTAGCTACCGCCTGCAGAGCATTTAGTCGGAGGTTGTCGGCTGCAGGAGAACTGTAGATACGCAAGGATAACAACTTCTTCAACGCAGCTTCCGCAGTGAAGGTGATGTTGTCTAAACCCTGTAAAACGTGCGGCCCTCCGGCAGAAAGAACAACAGGTGGCGGCGACACGAA